CCACCACCACCCTTCCCTCAATAATTTTAGAAACAAAAGCTTGATAAGCAGTTTTAAAAGTTCCTTGAGATATTTATGAAGCTTCTTATTAATATCTTTTTTGTTGAAGCTTTGGAACAAATGCTAAGCTATGTTAAGTTCATCAAAGACATTCTAATAAGAAGAGACGATTGGATGAGTTTGAGATAATTACCCTTGGTGAGGAATGCAATAACATTATCAAGAAGAAACTACCACTAACGCTCAAGGATCTAAGTAGTTTCACCATTCCATGCACTATTGGTAGTCTATCGTTTGTAAAAGTTTTATGTGATTTAAGACCAAGTGTCAACTTGATGCCACTATCTATTTATCAAAAACTTGGTTTCGGGGAAAATCAAGCCTACTTCTATGACCTTACAACTCACTGATCAATTTTTCACCTTTCTAAAAGGTATTGTTGAAGATGTGTTAATTACAGTGGTTAAATTTATTTTTCTTGTAGATTTCATTGTACTTGATATAGAGAAAGATCATGAAATACCAATTATTCTTAGGAGACTATTTTAAGCTATTGGTAAAGCTATCATTGATGTACAAAAAGAAGAACTTACTTTGAGGTAACTTTCATTATTTTCAAAGCTATAAAGTTTCCCAAAGAGTTTGATGAATGCTTTACAGTTAATATGGTAAATAGCATCACCAATGAAGTGTTTATAAAAAACTATCCCAATGATCCACTTAAGGCTTCTTTAATTTCTACTTCTAAAATGGATGATGATGAAATTCTTGAATGCTTGAATTTGCTGGATGCTCCACCATGGGTCATTGGATCTAATCTTAGTTTGAGTTTTAGACATTCCAACTTCTTCTTCTGCACTTAGCAAGCCCTCTATTGAAGAGTCGCCCAAACTAGAACTCAAGCCATTGCTAACTAATCTAGGGTAAATTTTTTGGGTGACTCATCTACATTACTAGTTATTATTTCTTTTTCTCTCATTAACATGCAGGAAGACATGCTCTTTCGTGTGCTAGGATCATATAAAAAAGCATTGGGGTTGACTATTGCAGACATTAAAGGAATCAATCCATCTATCTCCATGAATAAGATCTTCTAAAGGACTATGACAAAGCTACCATAGAGCATCAACATCAACTAAACCCAATTATGAAAGAAGTGGTTAAGAAGGAGATCATCAAGTGGTTAGATGCAAGTATTGTTTATCTTATTTCCATATAGCTCATGGGTGAAGCCAGTTTAATGCATGCCAAGGAAAAGAGGAATAACTGTAGTCTCCAATGCCAATAATGAACTTATTCCCACTAGAATTGTGATTGGATGACGGGTATGAATGGATTATCGAAAGTTTAACAAGATTACTCAAAAAGATCATTTTCCTTTATCTTTCTTTGATCAGATGCTTGACAAATTAGCTGGTAAAGAGTTTTACTTCTTTAATTTTACTCTAGGTACAACAAAATTGCCATAGCTCTTGAAGATCTAGAGAAAACCACATTCACTTACCTTATGGGACTTTTGCCTTTTGGAAGATGCCATTTGGGCTTTGCAACTCTTTAACTATATTTTAGAGATGCATGATGGCCATCATTACCAATATGGTGGAAGAATGACTAGAAGTATTTATGGATGATTTTTCAATTTTCAAAAATTCATATCATGATTGTCTTTATAATCTTGCCCATGTTCTTAAAAGGTGTGAAGAAAGTATTGTTCTTAGACGTCAGGTTTCTAGCCAAGGTATAAAAGTGGACAAAACAAAGGTTGAGACAATTGATAAGCTTCCACCTCCAATATCAGTAAAGGGTATTTGAAGTTTTCTTGGTCATGCAGGCTTCTATAGGCATTTCATCAAGGATTTTTCCAAGATATTCAAGCCACTCCACAAGCTTCTGGAAAAAGACACATATTTCCAATTTGATGATACATGCCTTGCTGCATTTTTGGAGTTGAAAAAGAGGTTGGTTTCAACTTTTATTATCACAATCCCGGATTGGAATATTCCATTTGAGCTTATGTGCAATTCAAGTGACTTTGTGGTTGGCACGGTCTTAGGCCAATGTAAAGAGAAAATGTTAGCTTTATTCTTTTTTAAAAATGACAAAATTGATTGAACTTAATGAGTTTTGAAAATGAATGAAGATTCTTTTAAATATGAAGAAATCCTTAAAGATGTTTTGAAGTTGAACTTAAAAGAAAAATATATTAAAATGCTAAGATTTATTACACATGCTTTGAATGTGAATGATCATGCTCTTAAACTTAAAGAAATGTCTTTTAGTTTTCCTAAAGATTTCTTGTTTTCAAATTCAAATTGCCAACCTAAGAATCAAATTCTCAAAAGAGAAGACTTGATTCTTAAATGAGAAAAAAGCAAAATTTATTTCTGTATGACAAGAAGATTCACTTCTGAAGGAGGAAAACTCAATTCTTAAGTAGAGTTTAACAAAGAAAAATTGATTCTAAGAAAAGAAAAAGTCAATTCTTGGAAGATAAAAGCTTTAAGATTTGTGAAGAGTCGACACCTCATAGACAAAGAATCGATTCTAGATAGATAGAACGCAGAAGGCAATATTGTAAAAAAGAAAGAATTGATTCTACATGGAGAAAATATCGGTTCTTGAAGCATTAAAAGCAAGATTCAAAAACTTGGTGACCAAGAAAGAAATGGCACAATTGGATTAGATTGGACTACCAAAATTCAAGCTCAAATTCAAATTTTAGTGCTTGACCATAGTGAAGAATCAACAACTTCAGATGGAAAAATCAATTTTCCAAAATTGTAAAGGTGTTACCTTTGAACCCAGTTATAGAAAAACTAACATCTTAGAATAGAAAAATCGATTATCCAGAGATAAAAAGCTCCAAACTTCATGAAGAACCAACAACTTAAGAGCAAAGAATTGATTTTACACATGCGACAACAATGTGCAAGCTACCTGAAATGTATGGGAAGTGATTCAAATTCATTTCAACAGGTAAAAAATCAAAGAGGCTATAAATACCTACCTTGAGGACATTAAAGTAAAGGACTTGAACGATTTAAATCATCCTTGAAGAGAAAACAAGAAGAAAAAGAGCTATGAGTAAAAAAATCTTATCTTAGAGAAAGAGCAAAACCTAAAGATCATATTTTTATCCTTTAAGTGATATTCCCTAAGCTCAAACATTCATTCATCATTCATATTCTATAAGAAAGCTCAGTCTTTGAAAGCAACAAGGAAAGATGTTGAGTAGGTTGTTCTACAGATGGGTTGAGTTAAGTTTAATGTGGATGGAGCTTCAGCTAGCAGCCCAAGAGTGGTTGGAATTGGAGAGGTTTTAAGGGATCATTGGGGTGAAACAATTATCAGATTTTCAAAATTAGTGGGTGTGTGATGCTAGCTAAGTCAAGTTACAAGCCATCAAAGAAGCCTTTTTATTGTTTAGTAGATACTCGAAGAAGTCTCAAGCTAAATTGTAGATAAAAAGTGATTCTCTAGATATGGTTAAGTGGATTAATGATCAAACGAAGGTACCATGGCGGTTTAGACAGGGTTTAATGCAAATTGGTTGTATCCAAAGCTCAATTTTTGAATGGAGGGTGACGCATACATCGAGAGAAGTCAATTGTGTAGCTGACGAGTTGGCGAAGGATGGAAATTTTAAGGGAGGTGGAGCTCTTACAATTTTTGGGACTCAAAGATTTTTATTAGATCACACGTTGATTTTTAATTAGTGTGCTGAACTAGTAGAAGTCCTTGTAGAATTGAGCTTTAGATTGGCGTGGGACTCTTAGTGGATCTTGGTCTCCGCTGGCAGATTTCAAATAGGATTGCTATTAGATATTTGATGTTGAATAGGGATCTAAAGGCTGATCTTGAATGAAATTTGGTTCAAATTTAAAATGCTAGAAGTTGTACCCCTGTTGCTAGCTGAAAGAGTTGCGCTTTTGGATGGAACGGTTTTATTAGTTGTGGCAGATTCTTTGTTGTCTGGAAAACTTCTTTTGGCGTTATTATGTCTGCGTTCTGATAAGCTGTGAAATGTGTATGTGGTTATTTGGACAGCAGCTTGGGGATCTTTGTACGGGTCACATTAATATTAAAGCACCCGGATAGTACGTATTACGTCGAGACCCCGGACAGCTTCAGTTGTCTAGACCCGGACATTTGGGAAAATGATTCGGACATATTGTTTGGCCATGATTTTGCCTGGATGACTTGGGGCTATTTTTTAACCAGAGTTTTGATGGTATTGTTGTATCCATTCTCCCAAAATTGGATATTTTGCTTTTCGGTTATTTTTATGCATTTTCCTTTCCTTTGTAATCATAAAGTCTACAATTGTTTACTTTGACACTTTCAAAAAAGAAAAAACAAAGATAAAATTACCAAACATGTTTTTTTTTTTAATATTTTCATAATTCTACAAACAAAAATAAAGACAAACACCTGTTTTATCAAACGAGACCAAAATTACTTATTTTTTAAAAAAAAAAATTTTAATTTGAAAATTATAATATTTACATATTAAATTATCCATGTGCGCAATGCAAACACTGAAAAGACTAATAAAGTAGAAAGACTCCCTCCCTAAGTATGATTTGTTTTAATTACCAGAAAAAACTAGTATTTCTGTAAAAAAAGAGCCCAATTTTCTTTTAAAACATTGTTAATTATGCAATATTAACACTAACCAAATTCATAGTAAGATATTCAGAACATTCTGTAAGAAGTGTTGTTCAAATAAAATTAATCTAAAAGTGATGTAAAGATAATTCAATATAACATCAGCTAAACTTGATGCAAAATTTTGTAAGATGTGAAAAACTATTTGATAATCTTTTAATTTCTTAATTAATAATTAAAAATAAAATATTCTACTTTGTTAAACCAAATCATATATTTGTTAAATATTTGTTACTATACGTTAATACTTTTTAAAAAATTGTTATTTATAATTTCATCTAAAAATCCAAATGAGCATACAAGGTAAGCTAAAAATTTAAGAAATTTGAAAACCAAACAAACGCCTTTCTTACTTTGATAAACTGAGCTGAACACCAACTGTGTTGAACGAAAACAGAATTAAAACGGTTATTAGATAGGGAAAGGGAATAATTACATAATATTACAAAAAACAAAAAAAGTCGAAGGTAAAATAGTGGATATCCTTGTCTGCCTGGTTAACACATTTGTTATGCCACAGAACCATTCTGGCAATGGTACAGGAGAAATGGGTTAGACAGTAGATCTGGATATATAGCATTCATCAGACACAAAAAAAAAGTGAATTTGTACATCACAGTAGAGCATCTACCTTTGATTGCAGGATCTTTTGGCTCTCAATGAAATATTGGTTGGGATGATTGACACCCGCATCGCATGATGAGCCATGACCAGCTTCAAACGTTAACGTACACGCCAACTGTGCACATTTCACCATTGCTTATAGTTATAAAACAATAACCTAAAACAAGTCAGAGTAAGCTTAAAGACAGTTGGCAATCTTATGACCTGATAATGCCTATTGCGTGCTTTGTCTATTACATCCTCCACTATGCGGCTGCCAACTCCCATTCTTGCAAGTGCGGCCCTTAGATTCTCCTCACTGTCATGTCAAAATAGCAAGCGATATAACATGTAAAACTTACTAAACATGCCTCCATGGTTAGATAAACTATCCTATCAAAACATTCAAGCATTTGCAATACGACCAATAAATTGATTTAGAGGAAAGCAAATTCATGCATCTAAATCTATTTATTATCCGTTGTTGTCTTGGAGTTCAAATTGGTTAAATCTCATCAGTGTAATTAGCTTTAGATAAAAGAAAAAAGGGGAAAAGGAAATATGATGCTCTGAATTAATCTAAAATGGAGAAATCAGGAGTTTTAACAAATTTACGAAAACTATTTCAAGAGAATCACGTGCTAAGTGGCTTCATCTAAACCACTTGTATATGATCATTATAAAAGGATGATTTTCTAGTAGATGGTGAGCATGAAACCACTGGTAATATCTCTGCATCCTTCATCAACAGAGATGCCTTACATTACATGTGCACAAATGCAACACGAGAAATATAAGTTTTGGCTAGGATATGGCATGGGAGGAACAAGACATATTGGCCTTAACTGCTGTGAAATAAAAGAGTTCTTGGGCTGTGGAAGAATGCTAATAAGAGATCTACCTAAAGGAAATAAATATTTTTCTGTAGCCACATAAACCCAATAGCTAATATAACATCTGAGCCAAAAGGAGATAGCTAATACTCCTATAACAATTTCAGATGAGCAGAAGATTGGATAAAATTTAATCAATTTCTACCTACAGTTAGTGAGCAGAAAGCTAAAGCTGTAAACAAAATTCAGTGCCCAGGCAGTGACAAAACCAGGAAACACATATATATGATTGACATCTAGCAATGCTATTTATAAACACATAAATTATTGACATCTAGCTTTAAGTTACATTTCTTCATCCCAGCCACATCTTAAACAAGAAACACCTTAAAGATTTAAGTTAAATAACTATTCAATTTCCTATACTAAAGAAGAAAGTTGAAAGAAAAGGTTGCTTAACTTCCATCAAAAGAGACTCACAAAGCATTTTTAATGTCATGAAGTTAAAAAAGATGGCCAAAACATGAAGCACCATAGGGCTGGAATGCAGTGATAGCATATCCATAACAAGCAATGATTTTATATTAATTGTGTCTTAGCAAGTTAGCATGTCTGGAGATGCATTTGAGACATTCAAGATAATATACTTGGTGACAAAATCAGAGAGATCTCTAAAAACTATTTGGTAATGGCCACTGCTAATCCTTGTGATACTTAACCAAGTTGCATTGTTTGAAAGAGGAAAAACGAAACCACTATAATTCAATCAAAGGAATCTATCCAACAAAGTTTTCTATGAGGAACACCATTCCCATGAAACCTAGCTAACTGTCCTAAAGAAAGAAAGCTGGTTAAGATGTTGACCTGAAATGCCTATAGGGGCAGCCATGATGGTCTCCAACACCAGGCGTTGACAAGATAACTTTCTGACAGGAATAAGGTGTATAATCCTGCAATAACCATCAAATAATTATAACAAAACATGATCATACACATACTCAAGTTCCAAAGATGAAAAAGGCGAAAAACTTCAGAACCCGTAAATAAAAAATTAATGGTAAATAAACTTCTACTGTTTCTGAAGGGATTGTAAATACCCCTTGCTAATCCAATGTTGATACATATCCCACTTTCAAATAAGGATAAGATGGTATCTTACTGTTCTCTTCCCTTCTCTTCCATAATTATGGCGTATGTTGTATGCATATTCTTTGTCAAACCTCTCTGCACCAACCTACAAGAAGAAAATGATCTAGTGTTAATTGACCAGTGTCCACTGTGTGGGCTGAAAAAAACAAGGCATTGTAAGACATTAAAACTAAACAAAAACTACCAGCATATTAGATATTTGTTATGGAGAGGGGAAGTGGGGAATTATCCTCCATGCATGAGACAGACTTTCCAGCCTTAAAGCAGCAAGTATAATATGGAAATAATATTTGTAGCAAATGCCCATGGTTAAATATTTCTTTTTTCCCTTTTATCTTTTCCTGCTAGTTGTTGACAATGAAATATCAAGGATAAAGAAAATGACAACTAGAAGGTAAATAAAATACCATGGCACAATAAATTCAGTACCAAAATACTTGTGCACAAACCACTGACCTTTTGTGCAAACTCAGCTTTCCAAAATGCTAGTGCATCATCAACCTTCAGCCCAACACCCTGAGCAGACGAAAGGAGAAAAAAAGGACAAAGAGAACCATGAAAAATAGAGGAATCACATTTAAGAGAACATTTCATGATTTATCAACAATCAATATTTACAGTTCTCTAAGCTTGTCATTATTCGTAGTTGCTCTACCTTTTTGCTAAACAACATAATGGAAATCAAAAGGAAAACAAGGATAAAGAGATCATGCAGTTCTTACAAACCTTCAGTACTCAAAATCAGATTCAAGTCACAAATAGAAAGCAGTGTCAAAAGAGGTTTATCTTGTGGACATATAGTGTCAAATCTTGTATAGGTCATTAAGCATGCAAGTCCTATATGTTCTCACATCTTGAGTGGTGACAAAATAAATTCCACATTGATTAAGTTTAGAGTATCCTAAGTTCAAAATATAGATAATGGCCCCTCCAGCTATTGTCCATTGGTTTTAAGTTTGGATGCTTAGCATGTTATCAGAGCTTAAGTTGTCTGATGCCTCAATAGTTATGTTGTTTGCTCCTTATTTGTTGTTGAAGCATTACGCCCATTTATTTCTGTAGTTAATATTGACCCCATATAAGTTAAGTTCAGAGTTTGCAGCAACCTTTAATTGAAATTGAACCTCCACCTATTGTCAATTGGTTTTAGGTTAGATGCTTCACATCACACACAAACAAGATGTTTTAAAACAAGCATTAATGCCAGCATTGATGCATATCTAGCCATAAGATAGGGTACCATGCTTTTATGACTTTATCTGATTTTCCAGGATTACATCTTTACTGTTACAGGCAACTACCCGGAAGACAAATTCATGTAAGTAGTAAAGTATAACCTTCAAGAAAAGACCTAATTGCATCCTTCCTCCATGCTTTAAATGATGATCCTCTCTAACCTGAAAAGTGAAAGATATAGCAGAATTATTTTTCTTAGAAACAAAGAAAGCAGAGAGAATTGAAGATAATGACAACTTGCACAATCCAATTTCTTACCTTTTCAAATAGGTGTCGCATACAGAGAGGAAATGAAGTCTTCGCAATTTGATCAATGTCCTTAATAGATATCTCTGCAAAATCTTTTGGCTAAGAATGCAGCCAAAAGAATGCAGAAAATTAAGCTTAAACATAAAACACCTATAATCAAAGGAAAGTAGATGAGTTGATATAATGATATATAGGCACCTGAGAATAGTCAGGCCCCAGATAGCTTGTGCATAGGGCTTCCACAATCTAAACAACAGATCAAGAAAAAGAAAATGGTCACAATCAAACAAAAAAAAAATCAGTAAAAAGGTTCAGATTCCGATACTTACTGGAGTCAGGCGATCCTTCTCTTGCTCTCTGATGGTAAATGTCCATTTTCTGCAAGCAAAAATTGCAAGTTCTGAAACTCAATAAGTACCTTAAAACTTAATTTTATGGACAAACAAAAAATTGCACAAGAGGTAAAAAGAAAAGAAGTTCTCAGCAGAAACTTGGATGTACTGCATAAACTTTCTTCCTTTAAAGAATATGATTACAATGTTTCAGCACAAGAGAAATGAGTATGATGCATCTCAGCAGCTGCATGCTGGTAATAAACATGAACTAGAGCATACTAAGAAGATGCATTATGACAATCCACGAAAGAAAATGCCAGGCATGTTCCTTTGTATTTGGGGTTGTGACAAAAAGGAAGACTAAAGTGTTGTGCACCAAAAAATTTGCTGCCTACCAGAATGATGATGATAGCAAGCATAATAGTGTCACTGCTTCTGGTGAATGTGGAGATTATGATGGCAGCATGGAATATATCCCATAATAAACAGTTCTAGTCATCAGCATGAAACATATCACCAACTAATAATGACAACATGCATAATATGCATGTAAATCTAAAAATTGCTTTGCAGTAACAAATCGTCATGTAAACTATGTCTGCTATGATGTGCATTTCAGCCAATGAAATCTGGGATATATCCAGGGTGTTCTAGATCAAGTTGGCACACCAATCCTAACATACAGCAGAGATATTCATTGCTTGAAAAAGACCAATGCAGATGTTCAAAACATATTTTAGTGGCACTTTCTGGAGCTTTGGATAGACCAAAAGGAAAACCTGTTTGTTAAAATGAGTGCCTTCGATAGATGACTTCGAAATTGAGTCACAACAAGAGAAACCACCTGAAAAGATTAGACAGATTAGGAGAAGTGAGAGATGGCAAGTACAAATGTTAATTCATGTTGAGTATATTCAATATTTTTGAGGTGAGATTCAAAGATGAGTAGAAAATGATAAAAATTACCTGATTCATAGCAACATACGCATGCCCTTTATGTATGAACACTCGATGACCAGCTACAAGCTCTGGAACTTCTTCAAATGGCACCTTCATAGGGGAGAAGCACATACAAATGAGTCAGGTAAAACTAGCAACTATATCAGGTTACAATCGAAGGACAAACCCAGGGCCTAAGAAGACTGACTATGAGACCATCAGTCTTCTCTCTGAATACACATCACCAACTCAAAATGTTATTAGATTTAACATTGTTTAATCCTTCCCCCTTTCTTTTTCTATCCATGTATATGAGCCAATGGACCAGAGCAATCTAACTGTATTACCATGGACATAGGTTAATTACATTAAATCAACACATGGCCATGAGAGATCACTTTCAGTGTCAAATCATGTTAAACATTTCTTTTTCACAAAGATAAGCTACCACTGGAATTGTTTGACATGTAGAAGAAGCATCAAGAAACACAAGTGTACCTTGTAGAATATCGCATCAGCTGCAAAACAAAAAGGATAAAAAAAGAAAGAAAATCTAATCACAACATAGACAAAGGATCAGAGAAAACCTTTTTTAGTTGCTGGTAATTATAGTTTTATGACCAAGACAAGAATACATAATGAGAGGAATGAATGAATTTTTCAAGAAAACCTAAATTATCTACAGGAAATCAACTACTGAGTGCATTCTGGAGCAAAATGAAACAGAAGCAGCCATTGAAAGTCTTTATCTGCCTCATCATTTTCCTTCTAAAACCAAACAGATTGATAAAACCCAAGCATAATAGTCAAGAATATAAGAAGTGATAATTTCAATCAATATTTGCTTAAGCTTCATATTGAACCTCACGGGAGAGAAATTCCAAGTGTTTGAAAATAAAGAAGAGATATTAAAAATTCCATAACACATAAAACTTATTGTTGCTGTTTGTTTTCATGCTTGGTGAAGCCAGATCATAACAGAAAAGATATACCAGTCAAATGAGGGCATTCCTAGAGATAATCCTCAATGGCGTGGAAAAATTTTATAATTAGCAATACATCTAACAATAGATGTTAAACCAATGCTCTATGAAACCACTACCCTATTCAATGCTGATTGAATCACTTGAGATTCAAGCAAGATCATCTTTAGATTCCACTAGCTTGCTGATATAAGGAGAAAATACTAGTATATTACTAGCTTGTTAGATTTTCAAATTAATAACTTTATTCTAAGCTTCATTTTTCCACTATTGCCTAATCTACCCACCTTAATTCATTCCACTATTGCCTAATCTACCACCTTAATCATTCCTTGTTGAACTCTGTTTAAAATATTCCATAGAATTCTTTCTCATATCCTTGTTTCATGGTATTCTGCCCATGATATAAATGATAATCAAAAAAAAAAAAAACTGAAGTTCCAGCATTGTAACCATCAGAAACTAATGCATCTACAAGGTACAGATTTAGAAATTAACATGGTCCAAACTTAAATGTCATTCATAACAAAATGACTTTATGCAAGATGAGAAGGAATGTAATAAGACAGAGATACATATGCCTTCCCCCTATGGAATGGCCAATGAAGCCAGTCAGTAATCTCATACCAATAGGTAAAGTCTGACCCATAGACCGAGCGACTTGGCGTAATTTATCCTCTACACTCTGTGAAGAAACAAAATAGCTCCAGTTACTAGGAAATTCAAATTTAGACAAAATTAAGAAGGCACCATATGCACTATCACAATAAGGTTATGCAATTGCATCTTGCTCAAAACAAGTAGCTTTAAAGAATTAGAAAGAGTGGAGCATGATTACCTCAAATTCTGCATTGCTGACTGCCTTGTATGGAAGGTTAAACTCAGACATCAATGCCCTCTATAACATCAGCATACAAGCAATCAGAATGTGCTCAGTACACCAGAAAACCAAACACTGAAAACGAATGAGCATGTGCTACCTGTGCCTGAGAGCTTTCAACATGAAAACGGTAGCGAAAGAGTGCAGTCTCCATGGACAAAAACCATTTCCTTAGCTCCTCGCTAACCATAACAAATTAATAATAATGACAATCATTGATATTAATAAATTAAAAAGACTAGAAAAAAAAAAACCAAATGACATCAAGAATATCACCAGCTTACGTTCTACAATACACAAGACGAAGGACAAAGTGTGATATGTTATCCTTGTTTACATCCTCAGTTGCCTGCGGATGTCTCATACTTGCTTTCCAGAGATCCATTACCTAAGCAAATCCAGTATGTTAAATTGGACAGCGATACAAAACAAATTTGTTAAAAAATATGTAAATACCAAGTGCATAGTATTACCAATTTTTCCATTTCTTCAGGTTTTTTTCCACGGGATAATCCATCGGAGATGCCTTTTAGAACTGTATCGAGCAATTAAAAGAAATTAGATAACACAAAAACAAAAAATGAGACTTTCATAGAGCTCAACATGCCATTTAACTACATTTGTGAAGCTCCTAATAGAAATAGCTAAACGTGTACTCAAAACCCTATCTTCTCTCACTCCAGGAGAAATTGAACAGTACAAAACCATCACAACACTGAATCCGATCATTTCTATTCCTCTTCTTTACTGATTAGGTATCACTTCGTCAGTAAAAAACCAGTTAGTCAAAAAAAATTACAAATAGCCAAGATGTACGTATGAGAATTTTTTTTGTTTTTGACGAATTAAAGCTTTATCAAACCAAAATAGGATACCTCGGAGTCGATCCATGGCAAAAAGCTCGAAATCTTCAAGACGGACTTCGAGTGGAGGGGCAGATCGGTAGAGAGGAAGGGTGGAAACGACGACGTCATTGGAACTGGATTTCCTGTGATAGCCAACTACTTGCATTTTTCCTACTTCGGGTTTATTTCCTCCTCTTACAAATGGCGTTTTCCTTTTTTTTTTTTTTCTGGGATAAATCCTTTTTGTTTCCCAAAAATAAACCGTAGGGCTGACAGGAAAAGCGCGCCCAAACGTTGTAGCAGATGAGAAATTGGCGGGAAAAGGTCTGCTACTAAGTTGCGAATTTTTTTCATATTTTTTAACGAACTTGTTCTGTTTCAACCGTATTTAAATGGTTAAAGGATCCAAATAGTCCCTTATATTCATACATTTTCATTAATTTAGTTTCTATATTTAAAATTTGATCAATTTAGTTTCTCGATTTTAGTAATTGAAATAATTTAATCTCTCTTTTAACATTGTCTAATTTTACTATTAAAGGTGATCACTTCAGTGCTGATGTAACAGTGCCGCGTGACATTCATATCATGACATTACAATATCGTGTGACAATGTTAACGTGATAGTGCCACGTGGTAATGTTAACATGGCAATGCCATGTGGCATTGCTAATGTGACAAATTAAATTCGAATTCTCCTTTTATAAAAAAAAATTTATATTTTATAGAATTATTTTTATATTATTAAAGATTACATTGCACTACAATCATAAAGTTTGAAATGTTGGAGTAATTGGTGTTTCAATGGAAGATTGAGAAAATACCAAAAGTAGAATGTGCATACGACTATTGATATTTTCTCAATCTTCCATTGAAACACCAAAGAAGCTAAAGACAATGTTAAGGAACATTTTAATTAAAGGTCATACCCTTATGTGATAGTCACATATGGTAGTTTTTTATGAGGCCACCATTCATCATCAATCATATATTATTAACAATTACATATTTTTAGTCAAAATAGAATTATAAATTTAATTACTCATTGTGGACCACAAGGTTATTTGATTATCCTACACCAATGCTAGCTTTTGGAATACAACGTAAGCTGTTCTTTTATGACTCTTGATTAAACCATATATAAAAATGTAAGAAGGATAATGTTAATTTGGAAAAAACTAATAAATATTTTTTTGTCTTATAGGTTTTGTGTAACACCTCCGATTTTTTTTATGAACTGTGTAAGATGAACCAAGTCAATTGATGAGTTAACTTGAATTTTCAGTGTATATGTTTAAGAGCTCAAGGGTATGCTTATGTTTATAGAGCAATGAATATGATATATAAGCATGTACAGGCTCAAAATAATGTTGTACATATGTTTGCATATGAATGGTATAGTGCATTGTTTGGCACCTTGATGAATATGATGCCTAATACAAATTATGCTAAGTTTTTATTTGTATATTGTATGTGTGATTACCCAACATCCCATATCTTATGTGAATTTGATTGTTAAAACCTATATAACAATCAAAGTCCACCACTATTAGCAACTTAAGTTTAAGCTTTTTGAGGGCCACGTGATTTAGACCTAAAAAGTTGGTAGGTCAATGGTTGGATTTGGATTGTTACAAATAGTATCAGAGTCTGTGCTAGTCCGATGTAAGCTTTCACATTACTCTAGTGAGATCTTGATCTCTTGAATGTGTAGCCTTGATAAGGACATCAAGAATTTGAGTGGGTGGAATTGTGATACCCAACATCCTACATTTGCTGTGAATATGATTGTTAAGACCTATACAATAATCCAAGTCCACCACTACTAGTAACTTAAGCTCAAATTTTTGAATTTGAATGGGTGGAATTGTGATACCCAACATCCTACATTTGCTGTGAATATGATTGTTAAGACCTATACAATAATCCAAGTTCACCACTACTAGCAACTTGAGCTCAAATTTTTAATGGCCACGTGGTTTAGGTTCAAAAAGTTGCTAGGCCAATAGTTGGATTTGGGTCGTTACAATATGACACAATGCTTAATGAGGATTTGAATCTAGGTGATAAGTACATGATTGGATATTGAGCATTCTTGATGAGTTGAGATGAGAATGATAGTTGTGGTACTTCAACAGCAAATCTTAAAGCGTAAATATGGTGAACTATATGATTTGAAGTTTAAGTGAGATTTTGACTTTTGATGGTATATTTTGATATTTATATGTGAGGATTTGATGTTATATGAACGGTCAAGGTTGTGGAAGAGATTTTTAATAGGATTAGGCCATAAAAGAAATAATTTTCCCTAGTCTGAACTTTGGAAGTCGATCCCTGTGCATAGAGAATCGATCCTGTGAAATACAAAGTAGGGGGAGTCCAAGTTCTAATTAATCATAGCAAGAAAACATAGAGGAAATACCAACGTACTTGTCCAAGATTGACTATGGAGCCTCTATAGTCAATCTTGAGAACGAAAATCAACCAAAGGAAGTAGGTGGACATCTACTTGTGATAAGGCAAGCCAACTCCACAATAGCTTAACTAAAACAACACAATGAAGAGATTGCCAAAAGATTTAGGGCTCTTTCTTTCATTCAAAGTGCTGTGTCAGACTCTGTATTCACCAGGATAATGGCTCGTGAAAATGTTAAGGATGAATGGGATAAGTTGCAAAAGGAATTCCATGGGAGTGATAGGACTCGGTAAATATAGATGCCCAATCTATTGAGAGAGTTCAAAGTTTTGAAGATGAAAGACAATGAAAGTATAAAAGAGTATTTTGATAAAGTAATGAAAGTGGTGAATCAATTAAGGCTAATTGGGGAAAACCTTCCTAAGAAAGGATTGTGAACAAAGTTCGGATAAGTTTACCAAAAAAATATGAAGCAAAGATATCCTCGCATGAGGATTCAAAAGATGTTTCTCCACTTTCTATTACAAAGCTTGTTAATGCCTTTCAAGCACAAGAGCAGAGGCGAGCACTAAGGCAAAAAGACTCAGTAGAAGGAGCTATAATGGCAAGATTGAAAGGGAACTATAGCAGTGCAAACACTTACAAGTACAAGATCCATTTCTAATGTTATGTATGTACCTGAAGCATCTCAAAATTTATTGAGTGTAACGCAATTAATAGAAAATGATTATGCCTTATTGTTCAAAGATAGAGCCTGCATTGTGTTTGATAATTCTAATAAAGAATTGTTCACTATTGAAATGTGAAACAAATGGTTGCCTTTGGATTGGATGAAGGTAAAGCATAAAGCTTTCCAATGCATGTCTATTGATTTTGGACTATGGCACCATAGATTAGAACACGTGAATTGCAAGTCCTTGTTACAAATGGCATTTGGTAGTATGGTTGAACGACTCCCTATTTTATCACATACTAATCAAATCCATGGCACTTGTCAATATGGCAAGCATAGTCGTGACCATTTCCTAAAGCAAGTAATTGGAAAGCTACTCAAAAGTTTCAATTGGTGCACTCTGATGTTGGTGGCCTATGAAAACAGAATCATTGAATGGTACTGTCTATTACTTGATTTTTATTAATAACATTACTGGTTCGGTTGGATTTTCTTCTTAAGGTACAAATCTGATGTGTTTAACCAGTTTGTCAAGTATGTTGCATTAGTGGACATTGATACTGGTAAGAAGATAATGAAACTTCGGACAGACAATGGTGGAGAGTTTAATTCCACTGAGTTCAAGGATTTCATAGCTTTTAAAGGGATAAAGCATCAGCTGACTGTGCCTCACACTTCCCAACAAAATGTAGTGTGTGAGCACCAGAACAGAACAATTGTTGAGATGACACATTACCTATTGTTTGAGAAAGGTTTACGCAAGAATTTCTGGGCTGAAGCTGCAAATGTGTCTATGTACTTGCTCAACCTTCTTCTAACAAAGGCACTAGAGGCTAAGAGTCCTTATGAAGTCTAGCATGGCGTGAAACCATCTGTTGCACATTTAAAAGTTTTTGGGTGCATTTGCTATGTTAAAGTTTCATATGAGAAAAAGGCCAAGCTCGATCTTAATCTCAAGTGGCCATTCACATAGGCTATAGTGACTAATCTAAAGGGTATCGAGTGTATGATTTGAAGACTTAGAAAGGTTATGTGAGCAGAGATATGAAATTCAGTGAAGGGCTTAAGTGGAATTGGGAGACTGAGTTAATTGAAAATTCTGATTCTGTTAACATCATTAGTGATATGAATGTTGCTGAAAATGATGAAAGTTTCGCTGTCAAAGGCACTAGATCATTGCGAGAAATTTACAGTAGATGTAATGTGGCACTGTTAAAACCATCTGACGCATTAGAAGCTTTGAAAGATGTGAAATAGAAACATGCAATGCAAACTGAAATGGAGATGATAAAAAAGAATGAAACTTGGCTTTTGATTGATAAACCACCAGATCAGAAAGTCATTGGAGTAAAATGGGGGTTCAAAACTAAACTAAATGCTAATGATTTAGTGAACAAACTAAAAGTTAAGCTTGTAGCCAAGAGATATTCTCAGGTGCAGGGTCTGGATTTCATGGAGACATTTGCTCCTGTTGCAAGGCATAATACGATATGATTTTTGACAGCTTTGGCAACACAAGCAAGCTAGAAACTTTGGCATCTTTATGTGAAGTCTGCCTTCTTAAATGGAGTTATAATGGAGGATTACTTTGAGCAACTTGAAGGTTTTGTTGAAGAAAGAAATGAAAACAAGGTTTGCAGGTTAGTTAAAGCACTCTATGGTCTTAAACAGGCACCTAGAGCCTAGTATGAGAGAGTTGATGGGTACTTGTGTTCTCTAGGTTTCAACCGTAGTGAGAATAAAGCCACTTTATATATCAAACTCTAAAATGGAAAAGTGCAGCTCATCGTATCCTTGTATGTTGACGACTTGTTGATTACAGGCCCTGATAATGATTTCCTCAAGGAATTCAAAGCTCAAATGAAGGCTGAATTTGGCATGACTGATCTGGGGGAAATGCCATATTTTCTAGGCATGGAGTTCAAGCAAATGGATGATCAGATTGTAATTCATCAAAGTAAGTATGCTCAAGACTTACTTAAGAAGTTTAACATGAGTTTCTGCAAACCAGCCCCAACGCCTTTAGCTGTTGGATGCAAACTCAGCAAAGATGATGGTGAAATCAAGATTGATGCAACAATCAACGAGAGCATGATAGGATGCCTGCTTTATTTATCAGCCTCCAGGCCTGATATTATGTATGCAACCAGCTAGCTATCTCGATATATGCAGGACCCTTCAGTTTTGCACATGAAAGCTGCAAAGAGAATTCTGAGGTACATTAAAGGCACTTCAACTTTTAGACTCAAATTTGTGAGGCAAGATAGCAGTTGTTTGCAAGGTCATTGTGATAGTGACTGGCCTGGGAGCATGGAGGATTCAAAGAGCACCTCAGGCTACTGTTTTTCCTTTGGTGGTGTAATTTTTTCTTGGAACTCAGAAACAGGAGGTGGTATAGCTCACTCATCTATAGAGGCAGAGTATATTGTTGCTTCTTCAGCAACGAATCATGCTCTATGGCTTAGGAAATTGCTTATGGACCTAGGTTTCAAGAAATATGTTGGTACTGTTTTTGGGGTTGATAATTTATCAGCAATTGCAATAGCAAGGAACCCAGTTCAACATGGGAGGACTAAGCACATTCAGGCGAGATTTCATTCTATTAGGGAGGCAGTGCAGAATGGTGAGATTGTAATCAAACACTGCAGTACAAATGAGCAGACAACTGATATTTTCACTTAAGAACTAGGGAAAAGACAAGTTCAACTATTTAAAAGCCAAGCTGGGAATAAGTGAGATAAATTCCAAGGAGGTGTGTTCTATCTGTGCAATAATGGAGAAAAGCGCAAAATGGTTTTAAATAGGAAGTGTCTTCATCAAAATATCTTTTATATATTTTTTTAAGTTTTTTGGTGCATGAACAGACTTGTCCACATGTTTTTATTTTATTTGCTCGTTCTACCGAGATGTCAGCCAGTAGTGGTGCTGTGCGCCTACTATTTTGTTATTTGTTGGTTTTGTCCTTTGTTACGCTACGCTGGCTTTGTTTTATTCTTTGTTGTGCTGACATTTTCATTCTCTCTCATGTTTATTAAATACCGACGATTGAGAAAATGAATAGATGAAGCCTTTGTTCCCCTTTTTATCTGCTTTGTTGTGTTTTTCTCAATATTTTTGCAATAATATTTGTAACTTGAAAAACAATCAAGAACAAACTCCATATACGTAAATATACACAACTATACTTCCCGAACACTACAGTACGGGGTTTTTTCTAGTTTAATTTAATTAAAAGGTCAATTGCTTGTTTACGACTGTTTCAATATTATCCAATCCTCTCCACCACCGTTGAAACAATTTAAAAAAAAAAAAGAATTAAGATGAAAATAAATCATCATTTATGTGACTCTGTATACTACGACTGTAAACGACAAAAATAAGAATCAATATACAGGGCAAAACTTCCAATTATAAGCATTTTATAATAGAAGAGTTTTCTTTTATTCCCGGGGAAGCAGAAATTAGCAGAGCGAATAATCTAATCGACTTACAGATATATATACCTTTCCAGTTCCCCGTCCGGAACCTACTACTCATACATATCAAAAAGAACTTCCAACTTCTAACAGTGAACATTGAACACCTGGAAAGAATTATATTACCCCTTATCACAATCATCATCTCTACAAAATTCAGCACCCACTCCAATTTAACTTTTGGCTTGGGCACTACCCTATAATCTCTGTTGGAGGGACTACGACACCCTTGAGAACAGTTCTCCTCAAACATAAAATTATAATCAAGCAGAAATTTAAATATTTTTTAAATGTAAGAGCTTTACGGTTGCTGCCTACTTGATCGCATCTGTTGTGGCACAGCATTTGTTGCACTGCGTGTTCTTGTGAGAAAAGAAGCATTCGCGCCTGAAAACATCATCCCAAAGAAACCAGAACTTGACGACCCATTAGTTTTGTCTTCTGAGGTGCGACTCCCATTGGCAAGCTCATGGCCACTTGATTCACTTACTTCCTGACACCACATATGTAACCATTGAGACCAAAAGGATGCATTTGAAAAAATAACAGGAGAAACCAACTGTTAGAGAGAGAGAGGACACAAAAAGGCTAACCTTGAGGCCTGAGGCAGAGACAGCATTTCTTGGAGACCTCTTAACCTGCCAGAAACCCAGAAGTCAAATCAAAGAGAAGGGTCTTAATAAAAAGGGACCAAAATATTTTGGACCAAGTATTTGGATTGAAAACATTATTTCTTCTTTATGTTGGTTCTAAGGACCAGTTGGCTTAGCAAATAAGTCTCAAACAGAGTAACAAAAATAAAATAAAATAAAATAAATAATCCCATGGAACCAAATTTCTACATGCATGCAAGATAAACACGACAAAAATCATTAACAATCTAGTGTAAAAATTGATAAATTATGTGTCATGGTTCAGTTATGACATAAGAAACGCCAGAAAACAGAATCCCCAATCCTTCATCCTTTCTTTCTTTTACCACCCTTCCCCTTCCTTTTCCAAACTAATTTTAAGTAATTTTCTCTTCTTTTAATTCAAATTCAGGACTCTGTAAAGTCAACTAACCTTATGAGTTCCATTTGAATCAGAAGGAGACGACGATTCTGCTGGTAAAATGGGAGGCAAAGACCCAGTCTGCTTAAACACAAAGAAAAGACTTATCAAAACACATAACAGGCAGTTTCAACGACTTGCTTATTATCTTCAGCATAAGGAATCATGAACTAAAGTTTAGCCCAAGAGCTTCATTATTTAGTTTCCGACCAAGTAATCATCATCAGATCATGCATTAAACAGAGATAAAATCTAACCCTTGATGGGCTTTTCATTGGTGCTTCAAGAGCTGGCATGGAAGAACTAGCTGGTGAAGCCTGCAAGATTGAAAGAACAGTCAGCAAGATGAAACAGCAGCATAGCAAATAAGTTGAAAGCAAGCATCTAAAGTATGAGGCTCTAGAAAACACAACAGTAGAACAATAATTCTGATCAAGAGTGATTTAAAAGAAAAATAATCATCTTCTCATGGTTTGATTTTGCGCAAAGTGCCACAATCCATTGATAAGCAGAATGAATTCTTGACAAATAGACACCAGTGAAAGAGGGATATAGTGGAAAACATTTAGTACATTGCATATCAGATATGTAACATAATAGGAAAAAACACACCTGAATACGATCAGTGGATCTATTCTGTTCCATGGTATGGGCATAATCACACAACCAGTTTAGTCCTTCATTTGTGATATCCTATGTAGATGATAAAAAACCATACAAATTAACAAAAGCAATAAAAAGAAATCACTTGAACATCACACTGTATATTTATGTTGTTAATATAAGAAATACCTGCTTCCCTTCAATTCTGTTAATCTTACTTTCCTGAGACAACCACCCCCACCCCCCACATCAAACAAAAAAAAAAAGAAAACAGAAGGTAGTCTTAGTTTCACATCCAGAAAGCATACCAACAACCACAGCAAAATGTAGAAAATCAATCCTTAAAAAATGCCTACCAGAGTTTGGACTACAAAACGAACAGATTGAACATTGCTGTTGAGCATCTTTGATTTATCTTGTAGCAGAGAAACCTATACAACTCAATCAATATCAGTGAAGAACAAAGAAACCTTAAGTTACTACTACAATCTTCAATCTCACCTCATCTTGTGTGGAAGCAGTAATATCTGCAATTTCATCCATATGATTATCCACACCATCAATCCTTGAGGATAGATGCCGTCTGGTAGTCTGGAAGGGAACAAGAAAGAGTTAAAAAAGGAAGAGGAACAAGAGAGTTCAGTCAATTTACTAGATAAAAAACTGACATGAAGTATAAAGCCCAAAAACATGTAGCTTATTCCTTAAAACTTCCATACGGTGTGGCCATTCAGGGATTTAGGCAGTCTATCATATCATATAAAATTAAAAAAAAAAAAAGTTATGCCAGTAAAAGAAAGACTTGCCGAGATTGACGAGTAAACACTTTCAAGCTGCTTGGCTATGGCATCACGCGCATCAGATAAACTACGCCTTGTTGCAAACATCATATCAGGAAGTCTCCAACCCTGAAACCATTCAAAGAATATAAGATTACAACTCTAGTTAAGACTAAAGAAAAACTTTTGAAGCAAAAAATATAAAAGTAAGCTATGGCATCAACATTTGCAGTACAGAGGAGAAACATTTTGTGTTCAGGAGGCAGGTGGGAATATGGGTAGAGCAGCAATTCCTGCTTGTGTCTTCTAAAATATACAATTTACTAATCACTAAACTGAAATAACAAGAAATTAATATTCTAAACTGCGCATTTACATATTTATCTACCAAGTACTTCCAACAGTTCTCTAGAAAATATTTTGCACTCTTAAAGTGCAAAACTTCACTGCTGACAAATAATTTGTCAAATTCAAATTATGTGGCTCAATTATCAGAAAAATTTAACCATCTTAAGTTGTTTCATGTATAACCTACGCACATTCATACACTCAAAAGAATAAAACATCATTACCTTCCACCAAACATAACCATATCCAACTACTACAACAACAATGATTATGCCGTATTTGCTAGTACCTGCGGGCAAAAACATTCCAAATTAATGCTCAGGAACGGGCAAGTTATCATGTCTCCAAAATAAATAAGAAAAGTAAGATAACAGTATTTTGAAAACTGATGTGTGTTATAGAAAAGAAAGAAAGAAAGTATTGGCAGCTAATTAAGAAAAGGGATCCTTATATCCATAACACTTGCGCATATTGTACTACAAATTGGCATAATTTTACCAAAAATTATAGTTAGAATGAGAGTCATATAGAGCAAGATTAACAGCATCAAATTTTTTCCCTACAAATGTCAAAGAATGTAAACAACCATAACCTGTTCCACGTCCAGTTACAATTGTAATTGGTCTGTTTGACGCCAAGATTTGCAGCTCCTGCCTTAGGCTGTTAACCTGTAAAAGTAAACAAGTTTGAACATTTATAATTATACAAATTTAAATAGACAAGCTTATCAAGACAATAGGAAGCCATCATTACTGAAGCAATAACCACACTGAAAGGTTGACGAATGCTTAACACATATATATTGCTCAAGAAAGTAACAGAAACATGAAAATATACAGTAAAATCAAATAATGCACACAAACTTAATCTGCAAATTTGTCAGATCACATGCTAGCATTTTTTCAGGATTTAAGTGAATATAAAAATTTATAGGTAAAATTGTCATGCAGCCATCAACTCCTTAATTACCACTATTTCAAAATGTCACAACAAATTAATCTTTAAGCATATGCAACCTACTTACCATCACTTAAGAAAAAGTGTCAAATTTTTATTTACAATGATCAAGAACCCATAACAATCAAACAAGCAGAAATAGTTCCAAATATCAGAAACAATTGCCATTATGCCAGATAATTAGATTTTAATTCTGCACTCATAATGGAGATAGAAGATCAAATACAAACCTGGGCCATCAAATAATCATTGCGTGGCTTGTTTATAGATGGAGTGGAATCATCATGTTTAAGTTGCCGAAAAACAAGCTGCCGCAGAAGACAAATTGTTACTAAGTCAGCAAGAAAGTAAATGCACCATCATCTCAAATTCCCATATGTTAAGGGACACAAAAAAAAAAGAAAAACAAAAAGAAAGTCTTTGCTTTTAGTCATGGCTCAGAAAAGTGGGAAAAAAATACCTTGAAAGCACCAGAGACAAAATCAGAAACATTTGGCATGTGTCCTTCTTTTGCAATAATCGAGCCAACAATACCTAAAAGACAAACAGTAGCTAATTTGGTTAGAAAAGCATTCTTTCTAATGGCTGAGGCATAGCCAAATTGGTAGCCACAGTACTCCTCCAAAGGGGAATCAACATTAAAATAATATGTTCAAATATTAACACTCTATGTTTGAACACAATCATCAATCCCATGATTCATTTTGAAACCCAAAAAGAAAAGCTACATCAAAGTTAAACTTGGCAATGCAAGCCTTCTTTATTTTCTTAACAGCGAAGTAATGATCAAGCGCATGAGCTTACTATCCTAGATCAGAATAGGATCACCTTTTTTCACCCCTCATATCCTTCACACAATAGGATTAGCAAGGTCATTGCTATAAGCTACATACACAATAGCTTCATATTAGACAAACTTAAACGTCCATTGAATATCGCTCCAGCCCATTAGCCAGCATAATTTACAGTGATCCTTTGTGTTTCTAACAATATCCTTCAAATGGACCATCTTCCGATAGCTAAATCAACATTCTGTTTTTCCATTCCAGTTCCAGTCACACAGCTATAACCTCGGTCGCCATTACACTATCCAAACAAGCACTAAATCATAGCATTGCAAGGTGCCAGCTGAACCACAACACCCCGCCCCCCACAAAACTCAACCCTAAACTCCTCTAAAATCCTAAGCAATTGCCAACGCAGCACCAAACTAGCACACATTCCTACGAATTCCACAACCAATCAAAGCACCAGATAACATAAGTCCCAACAACTAAAACCTACTCCAAATCCAGGGTTTCCCTAAAATCCAAAAGCTAGTTTCACTCACCCAAACAAAAAAAAAATCGATTTAGGACAAAATCACATTAGGTAAAAACCAAACAACATCTGATTCTTAAGCCAAAAAACAAAGAGTGGAAAAATCGGAAAAGAGCTAAGATTCTACGGACCTGCACCGACGAGGATAGTTAACTTGCCAAGAGGAAGAGCCATGGCGGTCTACGGTTGGAACGTATATTCGTACGTTGTGAGCGTATATACGGGATTGCAGAGACCGCTAAAGTAACATGAGACAAAAAGATTGTAGAAGAAGAAATAAATCTCCTTTTTATTATAAAGTAGTATTAGTATTTTCTTAGTTACCGTAGGATTTCTGGACTCTTTCTGGCGTGGTTCAGCTGGGGTTTTAGTGACGGGAAAACTGGGAATCCAAGACCATGGTTAATTAGTGAGCAACGCGACAACCCTATTTGATGGTAATACTATTTGCCACGTTTGTTGGTTAATTCGATAAAGGCCCTTGACTTTTTGTTAAATCACGAAAAGAGCACCCTCGATTGTCAAAACGAATATTCCACCATTGTTCTGTTTTCATAATTACGAATTTGTCCTTCCATTGATTTTTTCCTCCTTTCGTTTTTTTTTTTCTTTGTTATTTTGTTTTCGTTTTCTGTAAAGTCTGAATAAGGATTATTTTTTAACAAAATAAGGATAATTTTTAATAGGCACAATCTCTAAAAAAACCTTAAATTATTGAAAAAAATTCAAGTAAAATTTTATGCTTTTATTACGTTTAATCAAGCCGTTATATTTTTATTTTAAGTCAATTAACCATTTATATTTTTATTTTGAGTCTAATAAACCCTTTATGATTAATGATTGACTTAATTAAAATATTATTTATTACTCTATACTGTGTTATGTTAACTTAGTATAAAAATATACTAAAATTGACGATGACGTGACATATTGAAATATCATAATTAATAATGACGTGACATGTTAATTTGACATAATAATATAATCATGTGGTATTTTTCATCTTTCACATCAACATCATTTCAGTATTATGTAAATATAATATGACAAGTGATATTTTGATTAATGACAAATAGTTAATAATTAATCACAAAAGTTTATTTGACTTAAAATAAAAGTATAAGGACTTTATTAATCACAATAAAAGAATAAGAATTTATTTAAATTTTTTAAAATAGTTTATAAGGTTATTTGAGTATTATACCTTTCTAATACATATGAGCAAATCGAAATGTGAAAAATTATTATTTAAAATAAACATTACTTGAAATAAATAGGTGCATTCCATTGCATCTACTCATTCAAGTCTTTGAATTACTTTTTAATTGTTAAAGAAAAGAAAAATATAACGTTACAAGTTCTTAAATATGGTTTTTTTTTTCTTTTATGAATTTGGCTGGAATTAACAATGGAAATATGCATCAATATGTACACAAGAAATGGTACATCAAGTTAAGTTTGCAAGGTCTAAATTAGACTTGACAATTTTGTATATAACACGACAATACGACACGAATTTAAATGGATTTAGATTTAAGATAATTGTATTTTGTGTATTAATCATATCAAACCGGTTTAACCATTTAAGACTTGTTTAAGACATAATTAATTAATCGTATTATCGTTCATTCATATTAATCTTGATCTGGTTTTTATCTATTTATTTAGTCGTATTCATGTATCGGGTAGATATGTTTAGTATATAACTAAAACTCGTTTATTAATCCATATACATTGTAATATGTTTTTGATAATTGAGATTTATTGATTTTGAATATTATAATATTTGATAAATATTATGATATTTATAATTTCAAACATGTTAATTGATTAATTAATTAATTTCAAATATTATAACAAATATATTTTCATTAACATTTCATCACATACTTACTAATCCATTTAATCATTATTGATGAATTCAAGAAAAAAAATACTAACTAAAGTACTATGATTTTAACCTTGAGAGGTCTTTTAGAATGCGAAACCTGGCATTGCAAATTGGTTGATGAATGGGGGGCAATTTAGGGTTTTAAAGAGGAGGCCGTTCTGCTTTGGTAATTTGGGCAAACCCATAGGCATTTTAGATTTTTTGAATAATATCAATGGGTGTTTTGGGAATTTCATTTTTTTCAAGAAGTCTTTGTGGGTTCTGTCTGACCTTTTTCTCAAATGGTCCCTTAGGGTTTCTTCTTTTTCATTTTTCTCTTTCGCTTTAGGTTTTCTTGACATTTTGGGTTGTTTGCCTTCTTTGCTCCTTGATGGCATTGAGGTTTTTAGGTTAGTTCATGTAATCATGGTTTGAATTCATTGGCTTTTTTTGGTTTTTCTTTGTGCTCTTTGCGTTTTGGATTGTGTTGGCTCTTTCTGTTTAATTCTAGTAGATTTTTTGGGTTGTTTGGTTTTGTTCTCTTTCTTATATGTTTGTTTTGTTCGATCGATTCTTTCGTTCTTTTTTCTCTTTGTAGATTTTTTTATGTTTCTGTTCTATTTTTTGTACATTTTTTAATGAATTTGTATATATAGGTCTTCATGCAATTAGGTGTTATTGTTGGAGTTTGATGTTTTCTTTAATAGTCAGTAGTCAACTCTTTCATTTTTTTTCTCTTTGTAGCTATTTTGTTAAGGTGCCTTCAGATTGGTTACTTTTTTTTTCCATATAGAGTTATTTAATTACATTTTGAGTATTAAGTTGGTTAAGTTTTTGAGATTTAAGTTTGCAATTAAGTGTTTTTAGTTATTTTTCTTAGTTTAGTTTAAATCATGATAAGTTGTTTTAATTTAAGTTGTTTTATTTTAGTTTTATGTTGAATTACTTTTAATTTAGTTTATTTTTTATTTAGTTTTATGCTTTTGTAGGCGTGCAATTAAAATGGCTTCAATTAGTCAAAAAAAAGTGCATGAATAGCCAAGTATTTTTCTCGTACATGTTTCAGTATTTTGAACATAACTCTCATTTTATAAGTTTAATATATTAGATTCTTCAGCCATTGGAAAGATAAGAGATATAATTGAGTCAGCTTATCAAAGCCATCAACAACCGGTCACAGAGACATTGAAACCAATCCCCAAAGAGAAGGAAAGGAGCAATGCAATGCAATTACTTTGAGGAGTGGTAAACAGGTTAATGAGGTAAAAGCAAGAATGTGGTAGATAATAAAGATAAAGTTGATCAAGAGGATACTTCTAGTAATCAAGTTCAAGTTGATGGAGCTAAGCAAGAGGAAGAAGTATCCATATTACCACAAGTCAAGCCATATATGCCTCTCATTCTTTTTCCTCTAGCATTAAAGCAAAAGAAATTGGACAAGCAATTTGAGATGTTTTTGAATGTCTTCAAGCAACTTCACATTAACATTCCTTTTGTAGATGCTTTGGCACAAATACCTTTTTACGTCAAGTTCTTTAAAGAGATCATGTTCAAAAAAAATTGAAAAATTTGAGATAGTTGCACTTACTAAGGAGTGTAATGTTATAATCCAAAATAAGCTTCCACTAAAGCTTAAAGATCTAGAAAAAACGTTGTATTTGAATATTACAAATATAAAGCTCTACATAAGTCCTAGAATGATAATGTGTTTAAGGTGATTTAAGCCACATTAATATCCTTTATCCTACCTTGACTCTAGCCATACATTACAAGCTTTATAAAATCCTATTAATCCTTGATTTAGTATTATTCTACATAAGTGCGGAGAGAGATGAAAGGCAAACATATGAAGTTCTAGTATTAATTTGAAATTTTATCCTATGGATGCCGTTTTCACCATTACATGGTCGTGGCACTCCCAATCATTTAAAGATGCTTTAGGAGTCTATGAGGCTCATGGTTGCAGCCATCATTGCCCATGGCCACTATCATCGACAAGGAACTATAAAAAAATAAAACAAAGGCCAGTGGCCGTAGCCACTTATCACCATGGTTGTAGCCTTTAACAAGAAGTTGAAATTTAGGTGCCCTTGAACTTGTAATTGGACACAAATTTAAGCTCTATTTAATCTCCTCTCAAAAGCATGTTTAAGAAATAATTAAGGTTTTTTTGAAGAAATGAGGCATCGAAGCTAGTAAGAAAGTAAGGAAACTAAAGAAGATTGTAGATCGAAGACTTGATAAATATTGGAGTTCTTTCTTTTCTTGTTATTGTTATATTTTCTTGTTTAGTTTTGATGGTTAAATTTCTTTTTTAGATGATGTTTTTAGGAATTATGTTGAACTAAGTTTTTAATCTAGAATCACAATTGAACCTAATGTGTAGTCTAAATTTTTAATATTCTTTCTTCCTTATGATTAATAATGTTTGAGTTGTTTATTTCAATCATGTTCTCAATGCATCCGATTGATTGATCATTAATTAGATTGATTTGAAATCCTAAACGGAACTGGATGAAGGAGTTTAGAGTAAGTCATAGATGCAATAGCATATGTTCAATATCAATGCATGAGATGATTAATTTGATTTCCGTGTAAGGTAGGAATACACTTACATGTCATATGTAATCATAATTAGAGTCTAAATTTAATGAGTCTTTCTTGATATCAATTTACATAGGAATATAGTAAATTGGTTAAAGAAGATATTTTTGTAAAAACATCAAAAGAGACTTATAAATGAATTAGTTAAGAACTCAGGCTTATCTAGTAAGTAAAGAGGGAATAGAACAGATTCAGATGAAACATTGAGGAGATATTGTGGTTTTAGACTATGGGTTGATTGATTAATTAGTTAAATTGATATTATTGCTCTCAATTTTAGTTTTAGTTGATTTAATTTTCAGCAGTTTTAAAATTTGGTTGTTTAAATAAGATTGAGTTGTTTTAATTTTAGTACTTAGAAAAAAGATTTGGGCAATTCTCCATGGGAATGAATTTTACTTTTTATTATATTGCGTGTTAATAATACGTGCACTTGCATGGTAAATCCGACAACATGTACATTATAACATGTCAAAATTAGGATCTTTATAATAATGGAATGCCACATAGACATGTGGATTATTGTGATGGATTATGTCATAGAGAAATATAATGATGCTAAGATTTTCATAAAGAATGCACCATAATAATTGTAATGTGCCATGTTTTTACCATGCCATATAATTTTAAAGACGGTTTTGCCATGCCATATTATTTTAAGGATGCTTTTTCTCTTGTCATGTAGATTGAAGGGCACTTTCATCATTAAATGTGGCATGTAGATTTAAAGGCACTTTCATCATTTAATGTGGCGTGTAGATTTAAGGCCACTTTCATCAATTAACATCCCTTATAGTTCCAAAGCTACTTTCGTGATTTAGTATACCTTGTAGCTTTAGGGATATTTCAATGATTTTGTATGTCTTTGTAGATTTTGCTTGTTGTTAGGATTTTCAATCATTTTAATAACTATGTA